AGAATGGGGTAACACTGAACTCTGCCCCTGATATCAGCCTGGGGATCCAGGCAGGTCTCTAGAGACTGAGGTGCATTCTCACTTTGACCCCATGAGTCAGAGAGGTAGGGCCCTGGTTGTAAGGAGATGGCAGCAGGTCAGTGAGGGTGATTTCCAGGTTGTGGGAAGAGTCTGGGTGCGGAGTCTGATTATCGTGGGGACTGTTCTCACTGTAACAGCAAGAGCACTCAGGTATCTTCGCTGTTGTCAGCCCTAGGCAGTCTGCATGTCCCCAGAGTGAAGTGTTGGACAGAAGTGCTTCCTTATTTCCTCCTCACTAGTATTGTGAAAATTCCTAGTGTCAATTTCAGAACAGCAGAGGGGAGTGGGGCTCTGTGTCTTGTCAACAATTTTTATGATGCTCATGAATGTAAACAGAGAGGATCCAACCCCTGTCAAAGCTGCCCCCACTGTGAGCCCCTGCTGTCACCTCAGTAAGCCCCAAAATGGGCTGTCATGCTGTAGTCTAATACTCACTCTAACTTCCTCCATTCCAAGGAGACAAACTGACCAGGAGAACAGGAGTCCTGTGGGTTCCTAGAGCAGTTGTTTCACAGAAACCTGCAGAAGGGGTCCTGGTTAAAGCCAAGATGGTTCCTCTCCACTGAAGGTGTTTGACGTGATGTCACTCTCTCCCGTTCAGGTGCCAACCTTGCCAGCTTTCCTGCCCACAGTCCTACCTGCTGTCACGGGCCACAGCCATCATGACTTGGGGTCAGAAGAGTAAGCTCCATGCCCGTGAGAAATGCCGAGAGACCCATGGTCAGCCCCAGGATCTCAAGGGTCTAGGGTGTTAGGCCACTGCAGAGAAGAAAGACGAGTCTCACTCTTCCTCTTCCCTTGTTTGTTGGGGTACTCATCGCAGGTCTCCTGATGCCTCCATTCTGCAATAGTCTCAGGGAGCTTCGCCCACTGACTCTCCTGATGCAGGTGCTTCATGCTCAAGATCTGATGTAGCTGCCAAGGGTCAAGATGAGAAAAGTGCAAGTACTTCCCAGGAAGCAGCCTTCATTCAGAGCACATACTGAGATTCTCTGGACAGGAAGTTGAGCATGTTAGTGCAATTCCTGCTGGAGAAGAAAGAGTCCATTGTGAAGGCCAATTTGCTGAAGCTTGTCAGCAGAAAGTATAAGCAGCACTTCCCTGAGATCCTCAGGAAAACCTCTGAGCTCTTGGAGGTGGTCTGTGGTGTTGAATTGAAAGAAATGGAATGCGGTGGTGACTCCTACACTCCTTTTCAGCAACCTGGACCTCTCCAGTGAAGGAAGTCTGAGTGGTGACAAGGGGCTGCCAAAGACGGGTCTCCTGATGTAGCTCCTGGGTATGATCTTCATGAAAGGCAAACATGCCACTGAAGAGGAGGTCTGGGATTTCCTGAATGTGGTAGGGATCTATGCTGGGAGGAGGCACTTAATCTTCAGGGAGCCCCGGAAGTTTGTCACAGAAGATGTGGTGCAAGAAGAGTACCTGGAGTACTGGCAGGTGTACAACAGTGATCCTCTGTACTATGAGTTCCTGTGGGGTCCACGAGCCCATGCTGAAACCACCAAGGTGAGAGTCCTGGAAGTTTTGGCTAAGATCAATGACGCGCTCCCCATTTCCTTTCCAAATCTGTATGAAGAGGCTTTGACAGATGAGGTAGAGAGAGCAATGAGCCTGAGAGCTGCACGCAGAGCTGGCACTGTTCCCTTGGCCAGGGCACTTTATGGGGTCACTTTCTACAGATCCTCGCATTTCTAGGGAGGTCTGAAGTAGAAGTTTCACTTTATGTTAGAAGAGAGTAGCGAGCCATTTAAGTAGTACAGTATAGTAGAGGCTGGAGGGAACAAGATGTGTATCTTTCCTTTGTCCTGTTATACATGAGTAACTTGTAGATTTATCTTTTGCTTTCATTATTACTTTAAAAATGTTCTTTCTTTTAAGTGAAGATTTAAATTATTTCACAGTCTAAGTTTCTTAATGTCATAGATCACACATTTATTTCTGTTTGTCAGGTTTAAGACTAAAAGTTTTGTTATTTTAAGACAAATTGAAAGATCTTAAACATTTTATTTTTAGTACAGAATAAGGTAACGTGGCATTGGAATAGGGATTTTCACGGAAATGTGAAAGAACCCCACAGCAAAATAGTTGAGATCGCAGAATAGTGAAACAAAAGTAGAGTAGTTCATTTGCGGTGTTTCCTAGTCTTTTTGCTCATTGCTTGTAATATTAAATTATATAAACCTGTATTTGCTTTGCTTATTGAAACTGCATGAGAAAATAAAATAATAAATTAGACTTATTGCTTACTGTTTTCATTATTTAATTATTGTTTCCCAACCAGTAATCGAGTGCCTGCTGTTTGGAAGGTTCCCTGATAGTACTGGTGATGGTAAGCAAAAGGAGATCCAACTTCTGCCTGTAGAATTTTAGAGTCAAGCAGCAACTAACATATAACCAAGATGATGAGATATAATCTAAGACACAAATGACAAGTAAAAAGAGGGGATAAGGAAGAGATTTCACATTAATGAAGTCAAATGTAAATTATCTGATGAAGGCAGTTCAGAGTCTTAGAAAACTGCAATTCTCTCCATGGGAGTTAATTTAAGTGAAGCTGCAGGTTGGGCTAGATGAGGCTGTGGGAGTCGTGAGCATGGGCCAGGCCCTCAGATGGTGCCTCTCAGAGTTGAGAGGCTGTCCCTGAAAAGGGAAGCAAGTCTTAAGAGTTATTTTGACATTGTTGGTATACCAGAAAGAAATCCCCAACTGGGATAGGAAGGCAAAGAGACCTGTGCAGTTGCCCCAGTTCACAAACTGTGTCTTCTGAGCACATGATGTCCAGGGAGTATCTGAGCAACATGAGTGATACTTCTTTTACACAAAATGCCAAGAAGCCACTGAACTATCACCCCATTATAGACTGGGAGAGCCAGAGTCTGCTCCATGAAAAGGACATTTGAATTAGGTTGCTTTGAGTGTAATTTGTCAAACTCTAAGGGAGGGTTTGGTTTTTGGTGGTGACGAAGTGAATGAAAATAGGGGCGGTTTGGATGGAAAAGTGACCTGGGAAGTTTTTGGTCCCTAACACGAAACAAGAACTTTGAGTTGCCTCCAGCTGAAGACAACAACTCCACAGCCAAATAACAGATGCTTTAATGAGGAAACACTACTCAGTTTTACTGGCTTGGCAGCATTTCAGCAGATGCAGATTTCTATGTTATTTGGAGTAATCTCTAATATATTCTGGGAATAAAATTCTGTAAGGGAAGATTGTCATCATTTTGGGTCAAATGAAGTTTAGTAATAATTACCATTCATTAAACATCCAAAGTTTACCTAACACTGTGTCAGGCGATTTACATAGAAATATATATATATATATATATATATATATATATATATATATATATATATATATATTTATACACACACACACACACACACACACACACACACACATATATATATATACACACACCTAAATACTATAAGATGGCGTTTATCGAATTGACTTTGCAGGTTAAAAGCTTGCAATTTTCTCAAGTTCACAAGACTGGCAAGCAACAGAACTAGACTAGACCCTGCCTCTGAATTTCTCTAGAGTCCACAACTGCCCCACTTCTTCCAGCCTGAAGCAGACCTTGTGTTACTTATTTTCTACTCACTACTTCAAAATATATCTCAGGTGATACAAAGCAAGACTTCAAACCCCAAATACTGTTTTGGAATACGCAGCCCAAGGAATAAGCAATAAAAATACCAAAATAAATCCAAGTTGTGAATAAAGAAAGAGATATTTGTTGACAATATCATTATCTGCAAAGTCAATGTCAGAAACCTCAAAAGACTAGGGACTCACAAAATCATTTGGCTCAGCCTCTTCGCTGTAGCAAGTGGATATATTTGAACAGAAGTTACATAAGAAGCTGAGGCTGCCTAGTGACAGGAAGGTATGTATAAACAATGGTTTTCTTTTCTTTTTCTTTTTTTCTTTCTCTGAAAGCACACCTGTCCAAGGCTTTCTGCTTTGTGCTTCAGATTTCCCATCTCACATCATCCTTAGGACACATCCTATTCTCTGCAACGTTTGCAGAGGGAAAACTAATGAAGAGTTTGGAATGACATGGCATTTCTCCAGAAGCCTCTCATGGAAAGTTTAGAAACCAAGATGAAGATTGATGAATGAGAACTAAAGAAACAAACGCCCCATAGTAAATGGAGCAACAGAGATCAGACTGTGTCTACTTTTAGACCTGGAAGACTGAAGCAGGGCTGTTAGGCTACTTCTCACTTACTGTTCAGTGTTCTCAGGAACATAAGATCCTTAGTCTACATGAGTGACTTAAAGTTGAAAGAAGAAACTCAAGGCCTGCAAAGAGTCAAGGTGAGGACCCTGAGTGAGGACTGAGGGCAGACCTCTACCCTCCACAGAGATAGCCCCAAGGAACCTAAATCTTGATGTCATCCCTGGGAGGGCACAGACAGGTGGCATTTCCTGTTTTCATTCTGGGACCTCAAGGAGTGGGAACCTTGTTCTAAGGTTTTGAGACTTAGACAGTAGAGGGAGATGTTCCATGCCCTGCCAGGAATCAAATGCAAAATCATGAGTGATGACTGAGGGGACCACAGACCCTATAATAGGGAGGTGGCACAGAACCTCCCCCTGCCATCAACCCTGGATGGCCTTGGGCAGGGCTGTCAGGCTGACTTCTGCAAAAAGTGTTCAGACATATGAGGGCTTAGTCTGAGGGTAGGGTCCTCAAGTCAACAAAAAGAGTCCAAGGCCCTGCCATGAATCAAGGTGATGGCCCCTAGTGAGGGCTTAGGAAACCTTCTACCCTCAGAACTAAGAGAACCACACAGAGCCCCACCCTTACTGGTAGCCCTGGAATACATGGGCATTGTTGACATGATGTGACATACTTCCTTATATGATGTCACAAGGAAGGAAGGAAGTTGGTCTGATTGTGAATTAAGGTCAGCAGTTAGAGGATTTCCAGATTTCTCCAGAGGCCACAGTGAATATGCTAATAACTGAGGGGACCACATACACTATGAGTGGGAACACCACAGAATTCAACTGTTACTCTCAGCCTTGGGACAACGAGGACAGGTAAGAACAAATGAGAACATATGAGAAGATCCTCACATTCCCCATAGGGCATGTTTCAGGGTCGTTTTCTCTTTAGTATGAGGGCATAGGCCTTAGGACAAGGGAAGGAGAAGTTCCAGACCATACCAGGGGTCAAAGCAAGTGCTAAAGGAACCATCTACCACTAAATAGAAGAGTTAAAAAAGAATCTGGCCCTACCCTGGTTTCAGTGCTTGAAGGGCCAGGGCAGGGTTGTGAAGTTGAAGCTCTCTACCATCTCTTTATGTCAGGTCTATGGGAGGTGACATCCTTAGTCTGAAGGTGCAGTAATCAACATTCAAATGAAGGAAGTTGGGCTCCTAGGCCCTATATGCCAATGTAAGGACCCCCAAGGGTGGACTGAGGATCCCAGAAAGGCCAGGATGGAAAATTACCTACTCAACAGTCAGCACTGTGGGCACATAAACAGCAGTGATAAGCTGAGGACCCCCTTCACATCCTTCTTATGGGTCCCAGAGAGGTTTGTGATATAACTTCAGAGGAAATGGTTCTCATGACCTGCCACCAGTTGGCATGATTGTCTTGAATGTGAAGTAAAAGGACCCCTCAACTTAGAAGACTGGCAGCCACTATGTCACCTTAGTATGCCTGAGGCAGGGCTACCAGGCTAAAGCCTATGGTTCAGTCTAACTTCCTCCAAAGGTTTCCCAAGCGGGGCACATTGATCAGGATAACAGAATCTCAGTGTGTTCCTAGAGCAGTTCCTTCATGGAAAACTGCAAATGTTGTTTTTATTATAACTACGGTAGAATTTCCACTTTGAAGGTGCACAGACCCTCTCAATCTTCCTCCTCCAGTGGACTCTCTTGACCTGTTCTCCTACTCATTCTCCTGCCTGCTATCCTTTATCAGAGTCAACATGTCTCAGGATCAGAACAGTAAGCTCCACATTTGTGAGAAACACTACCAGATCCAAGATGACTCTCAGGTTCAGAGTGGAGCTCAGGTCAGTGAAGAAGTGGAAGATGAGCCCCTCCCCACTTCCTCTCCTGTTCTTGGGGATATTCCCCAGAGCTCATCTGCTGCTGAGTCAAGTGGCACTTCTCAGGAGCCTTGCAAATCCAGTACCATGACTTCTGCAGGCGTTTTTAACACAGGATCTGACGAAGGGGCTAACAGTAGAGATGAGGAGTACCCATGTTCCTTAGAGGTCTCCCGCTTCACTGAGAGTTCATGCAGCAATTTCATAAATATAAAGGTGGGTTTGTTGGAGCAGTTCCTGCTCTACAAGTTCGAAATGAAACAGTGTATTTTGAAGGAAGATATGCTGAAGATTGTCAACCCAAGATACCAAAACCAGTTTGCTGAGATTCTCAGAAGAGCTTCTGAGCACATTGAGGTTGTCTTTGCAGTTGACTTGAAGGAAGTCCACCCAACTTGTTACTTATATGACCCTGTCAGCAAGCTGAAACTCCCCAACAGTGGGAGGATTCATGCTGGCAAAAGGTTACCCAAGACTGGTCTCCTCATGACTCTCCTGGTTGTGATCTTCCTGAAAGGCAACTGTGCCAATGAGGAGGATATCTGGAAATTTCTGGGTGTGATGCAAATATATGATGGGAAGAAGCACTACATCTATGGAGAGCCCAGGAAGCTCATCACTCAGGATTTCATGAGGCTAAAGTACCTGGAGTACCACTGGGTGCCCTGCAGTTATCCTGCACGCTATAAATTCCTTTGTGATCCAAAAGCCTACACCAAAACCAGCAAGATAAGAGTCCTGGAATATTTGGCCAAGGTCAATGATATTGCTCCAGGTGCCTTCTCATCACAATATGAAGAGACTTTGTAAGATTTGTAAGATGAGGAAGAGAGCCCAAGCCAGAGATGCAGCCGAGACTGGCACTACTGCAGTGGCCAAGACTCTCTCAGGGCCAAGTTCAGCAGCTTCTCTCAATCCTATTGAAGTCTGAAGCTTTTTTCATCCAGTCAAGCAAATATAACATCACCAAAAGGGATTTTTTTTTTTGAAATACCAAAGAACCCCCAGTAAAATAATTGAGATAGTGAAATAGAAAAAAATAATAAAACATGATCTTGGTTTTCTTCATTTCTTTGTCTTTTGTTTTGTAAAATTAAATGATTTATGCCTTGATATGTTTAGATTAACAATATAGGACAAATTAAATTTAATAAGTTAGATCTCTTGCTCACTGTCTCTTATATTCCCCAAACATCATTTGAGTATCTGCTTTTTGGAAGGCTCTGTAACAGTACTGGAGCTGCTCAGATAAAGGCCCAGCTTCTGCCCATAGAATCTTTGAGGTTAAAAGCTGCAGTCATATAAAGTAAATGTTGAGTCACCCTCTATGACTTATAGGAAAGCAGAAAGGATGGATGAGAAGGGGGCATTCCAGTTGAGAGCAGTAAAGCATAAATTTCATGAGGCAAGGCAGTTTGAGTTTTGGGAAACTGAAAGTCAATGTGTTGTAACTTTTAAATTAGCTGCATGGGCGTGCTAGATGAGGCTATGAAACTGGTAAGCAGAGGTGAGAACCCTCAGATGATGCATCTCAAAGTTGAGAGAGAAAACCCTTTAATGGAAAACTGAACTGTAGTGTAAACTCCAAAATTAAGGCCTAATACTATATACTGCCAGGCAGGCTAAGAGCTCCCCTTCTAATGCCGCTTGCCTAAGACAGAGTCCCATAGCTGTAGTGTATCCCTTGTCTTTTTTCCTATCTATTGGAAGTGGGGCTCAGGCAAAACCTCTGTTTCCTCTTTGTTATTTTGGCCTGGTGATAGTGGGGGTAAGGGATAAGGAGGCAGTAACGTAGGTGACGGTTCCTCTTCCCTCCCCTTTTTAGGCTCTTCTGTGTATAACGGGACCAAAGCCGCCCTAACTAAAGCCCATAATGTTAAAGATGTTACTGGGACCCGTTGCCCTTACACATGATGTTGTTTAAGATTTCTCCCCACTTGTTCCCAGAGCTCTACGTCTAGCATACCTTCTTCTGGGAACCATGGGTTATGAGATACAACAGTTTGCATTAGGTCCCTTAATTGAGCCTGTGAAACCGAGGCTCCACTAGCTTTAAGCAGCTGTTTCAATACTTTTATATACTGTTTCTGTTGAGCTGATAACTGTTGTCCCATGGTGAAACCCTAGCCTGAACAATTCCCTCAAACTTGGAAACCCTGAGCAGGCACCGATGACTTATCGATTTACTGACTTACTGACTGCACAGTCTCCTTACCTTCATTTTGGAGGGTTCCTTCATGATTTGTTGCAGCATTCCTCTCGCAGGGCACCATCTGCTGGGGTCTGACCCGCAGACCCTGGCCAAATGACGGATGAAAGAAGGCACTCAGACACAGATATCTGGTGAAAGAGTGGGCTAGGGGACTGGCCACGCACAGACCCCAAGGAGGGTGCTGTAAAGAGTCAGCAGCTGAGGCCCTGATAAGCTGGTGCTGCGGGCATTTATTCAGCACAGATTTAATGGAAAAGGTTTTGAGACAACACACTTGTGGATAATTAACATGGTCGCCCGTCTGGAGAGAGCAGTCCTGCGCATGGATGATTAAAGGCCAGGTTCTGAGGCCTAAGTAACTAACTTATCTAGATCAGTTTCTTTTCATCCCCTTGTTATCTAACCTAAGCTCTTAAGAGAACTCAGCTGCCTTCAGCCAAATTTTCTTTCAAAGCTTTGCAAACCCCTGGCTTTCCAAGATGGTTTGCATCTTTCTACAATTTTTCCCACCACCCTGACTGATCTCCTACAATATATTGCCTTCAATTTTTCAAATGGCCTAACTGGAAATTCCTCTCTACACTATGCACTTGCAGATTAGGTCCCTTAGCCAAACAACCATCTTTATTAAGAGAACCAGGCACACATCTTGTTTTCTTTCCCTGACGGCCTTCAGGATTATTCACACAAGCCAATCACAACTTCCCATGAGAACTAGATGTCACCTCTCCCTCTTGATCTACAAATCCTGCCTCCCAGAGACCTTATTCATTCACTCTGTTCCTGAGTGCAACCCTTGTGTGACCCTGTGTCGTATGTGGTGTACTGCTACCCTGGGCTGTGAGTGTATGTGATTAATGAACTGCTGTTGACCTCATCTATACAGTGCCCAGTATCATGTGTTTGAATACCACATAATCATAATGTGGAAATTCCTTCCTCACCAAGAAATAGGACACCACTAAAACATGCTCTTATGAATTACTTTGGGATCATAGATAATCCAGAAATAATTATTTAGATTTAGACTAGTGGCTTACGCAACAGAAGTTTATTTTCTCACAGTTCTGGAGGCTGTAAGTCCAAGATCACAGTGCCAGCAAGGTTGGTTTCCTCTGAGGTCTCTCTCAGCTTTCAGAAGGCTTCCCTCTTGCAGCCTCTTTACATTGCTGTCCTTTTGTGTGTATGCATCCCTGGTGTTTTCTAGCGTGTCCTAACCTCTTCTTTTCAGGACACCAGTCAGATTTTATAAAAGTACTCTAATGGCCTCATTTTAACTAATCACCTGTTTAAAGACCTTATCTCCAAATATAGTCACATTCTGAGGTACTGGGGATTAGGACTTGAGCACATGAATTTGAGGTTGGGGGCAAAATTCATTTCATAATAGGCAGGAGTGGGAGATACCTTTGCTCTTATCTCACTACAGTAGAACACAATGCACAAGCTACGTGTTCTATGCAAATTGTCTCCAGGGAGTTTCCCCAAAATAAGAGTGAGATGCACAAAAGTCACTGTGTTGGCTTTTTTTTTTTCTTTTTACCTAGAACTGGAAGAAAGAACTAGTTCCTACTAGAAAAAGACATTCTAATTAGATTATCCTGAGTGTAACTTGGCAGGTTCTAAGGGAAGGCTAGATTTTGGTGGGGAAGAAATGAATGAAAATATAGGTGGTTTGGATGGAAGGGTAGCTGGGATGCATTGAAGGAGTTAGTCCTTAACAAAATTCTAGAAGATTTTAATTGTATCCAGATGGGGAAGAACCCCCAACATCCAAATTAAATAATGGATGCCCTAATGGGGAAAATTGAATTTTACTTGCTACAGCAAATTTTTGGCTGATTTGGTGTTGTTGGAGAGCATTGCATTTTCTCTGACATATGCTGGATTTTTAAAAAATCTCAGATAAGAAGATAATCATAAATAATCATAAATAAATGCCATTTATTAAACACCTAACATTTGCCAGTGACTGAAAGATTAAGTCTTAGTGATGAAGAGAATTAGATTAGTGTGTGTTTTCTGACAGCCACCTCCCTATCCCAGGCCCTCTGCCTTGTTCTTCAGCTTCCCCATTTCACATCGCTCCACTTGGACACAGACCTATTCTGCTCAAGATTTTTCAGGAGTGTGGCATTTCCCAGGAAGCTTTTCATTAAAGATACAGGAGCCGAGGATGTCAGGGCCTTGCTACAAAGGGCTCTCATTGAAGTAAGGCTCTAAGAAGAGTCAAATTGGGAATCGTCTGTGAGACTGAGGGAACTACCCACTCCAGAACAGAGAAGGCACCATAGATGTCACCCCTGGAGTCAGCTTTGAGAACACTTTCACTGGGGATATGGGTAGGACTCACTTCCTCCTGAGGGTTACAGAAAGGTGAGGGACGTGGCCTAAGGCAGGCCACCTTAGCACAAGTGCAAGAAAGTGAGGGGTCTTAGGATCGGGCAGAAGTCAAGGTGAGAATACTTAATGAGAGTAAGAGAACCACCCACTTCAGAAGCATGTCCCGGGCCTGCTCCCCCAAAAAGCTCGACCCCTGTTCTCAGTCTTGGAAGGCCCTGAGCAGAGTAGGCAGGCTGAGATGTGTGCTCATTCCTGCCTCTAGGGCCTCGGGAAGGTGAGGGCCTTAGTAAAAGTACGTGAACTCAGAGCAGCTGAGTGAGGAGGCGCAAATCCTAGCAGCAATCAAGGTGAGGAAGCTTAGGTAGAGAATCCCATCAAGCTCTTGTTTGCAGCTCCCTGAGTACCCAAACATGGATGTCAAGTATATGTGAGCTCTCCTTTCCTACTTGATGATACTGGGAGCTGAGGGCCTTGGCCTGGAGTGGGCAGGGGACAGCGGGCTAAGGTCAGCAAAGGGAGTACCATGCCCTTCAGGGAATCAACAGCAGAAGCCTGCGTGATTTCTGAGGGATCACTGATCTCAGAAGTGTGCGGTAGCACAAAGCCTGCTCCTGCCATCAACCTTCGGAGGCCCTGGGCCAGGCTGACTTCTTCAAGGGGGGTCTCAGAGATGTGAGGGCCTTGGTCTAAGGGAAGGATCCTCAAGTCAACAAAGAAATGCAGCCCAAGTGCAGCCATGAATCAAAGTAAATGCCCTACATGAGGACTGAAGGAACCCCTGCTCTACTGGCACCCTGGGATGCCTGTGCACTGGTTACATGACTTGCACTTATTTCCTGCTATGGTGTGGGGGTGGTTACTGGTAATGATGATGAGGGATTTTGTCTAAAGTAGATGGCCTGAGGTCTGCAGTAGGAGGATTTCCAGGCATTTCTACGAATTAGGGTGAAGACATGATATCTGAGGGGAACACCAAATCCATCCCCTATTCTCAGCCTTGGAAGGCCACAGGCAGGTGAGGTGGTACCCATATCTTAGTAGAGAGTCTCAGGAGATTCTGGTAGGAATAGAAAAGCCCTGGGCCATGCCAAGAGACAAAGGAAGGGTTGGGAGGACCACCCACAATTGAACAGATAACAAAGCATCTGTGCCCCACCCTTGCACTCAGTACTTAAAGGACTGGGACAGGACTATCAGACTGAGGCTTCTCCCCAGTTCTTTATATATATAAAACCTAAGGCAGATGAAATCTTTGGTGTATGATTGTAGCCACCAGTCAGCAAAAGGGAAGTCTTCCAGGTACTACCTAGAGATCAGGTGAATTCCTTGAATGAGAACTGAAGACCCAAGCATCCCATGACAGAGAGACCTCCACATAGCTCCCAGTTGGGTGCCCCCTGACAGAGATGCTCCTTCACTTTATCTTCTGGGGTCTCAGGGAGGTGCTGGCTTTGGTTTGAGGTGTCAACATTAGAGCAGCAGAAGGGAGGGGAACCACGGCCTGCC